AATTTTGGTCAATGACATGAGACAAAGTATATGTGAACTGCTGTATGAAAAGTGAATTTACTCTGTAAATCTTCACCCAAATCCTAAAAAAAAAAAAAAAAAAAAACCCACACTCTGATTTATGTGACCCCAAATGTGTCAGTGGAATTGTGCTCTATGGTTTCCAATGGCTGATTTTTTTTTTCTTTGAAGTAGATTGCCAGGCCTTTCTTCTGAGGTGCCTCTGGGTAGACTCAGACCTCCAGCCTTGTGGTTAGCAGCCAAGCACATTAACCATTTGCACCACCCAGTGACTCCTGCCATGAATTAGCCTAATGACAAGTTATTTAACCTCTCTGAGCTTCAGTTACCTCATCTGCAAAATGAGGCTAATGTCTGCCTACCTCATGTGATTGTGGTGTGTATTAAATGAGATCCTGTGTTGGAAGTGCTCATTCACCCGTCTTTCCTCCGCATGCCTTAGATTTAGCATTATGAAACAGATTGCTTAAACTTCAGAACAAGTTCTGTTTATGGCTCTTTGGATTCTTGTTAACATTTACATCTTTAAAAACATAAAATGAGAATTTTAATGATTAATGTAATCTGACTGCTTTGCACAGTGTAGAAATTAGTATGAGCATCATTCATATTTTACAATAAAAACATAATTTTCCCATCAAAAGCAAATTTTGATTATCTGCTATAATCATAGAAAATAGGAAAAGTGAGGAAAGTTGCAAACAGGTAAAGTCACTTATTTGGAATGAGTTTGAACGGTATCCGAGAATTTTACTGTTACAGTTTCCAGCTGAAGAGCCCGAGTGGTGTAGTGGTTAAGTACTCGGCTGCTAACCAAAACATCACTGCTTCTAACCCACCAATCACTCCGTGGGAGAAAGATGTGGCGATCTGCTTCTGGTTAGCAGTCAAATGCCTTAGCTACTATGCTACCGGAGCTCCCTATGTGTGTATATAAGATATAAACACACATGTACATAATACTTTTTTTTTTTTTTTGATACATAATATGAATATAGATGGTCACAGAAGTATAGGTTACTACATTTCTAAACATGATTTTAAAGTCTTCAAATGTTTAAAAAGATTTTATTGTAGTAAAACATACAAACCCATTCTTCACTTACTTCCCAGGTCATTATGTGAAAATCAGTGTTACGCAGAAATTTAGGAAGACTGCACTGTTACGTAACTGCCCCACATTGCATCATTACATAACCACCCAGCATTGCATCATTACGTAATCACCACACCACTGAGAATCATGGCCCAGCCAGGATGGCATAATCTCAGCCATCACAGCCAGCGTTATTCACACCTCACACCTCAGCGTTTGTTACTGCCAGGCATGTCCTTAATGAGCAGACTAGTTGGATAGTAGATTTTTTTTTTTTTTAACTATTGTCATAAAAGGAGCTCTGGTAGCATAGTGGCTAAGGCACTTGACTGCTCATCAGAAGGCTGGCAGTTCAAACCCACCAGCCACTCCTCAGAAGGAAAAAGGAGAAATCTACTTCTGTAGTGATACTGCCTCAGAAACCCAAGGAGGGGTCGTTATGAGTTGGGTCCGACTCGACGGCACATAACAACAACACTGTCATAAATGTGAAGTATGAGAACAAGATAGTTGATAAGTGAGGTAGAGGTTTATAACAAATAGTTTGCTTTATACCTTAAAAATGGCTATTTTACAGTGTCCCTGAGCTGTAAATATGGAAGTTATTATTTTGGTGAATGTCCTGGTATGTATGTTTTCACTATAATAAAAGTTAAAAAAAAAAGCTGTCTTAGCCATTTTGAAGTGTACAATTCAGTGATATTAATTACATTGACTATGTTATACTACCATCACCACTGTCTCTATTTTCAAAATTTCAGATCACCTCAAAGAGAAACTTACTACTACTCCTTCAGCAAGAACTCCCATTCCTTCTTTTTTTATTTATTTTTTTTAAATTTGTGATTTGGGTCAAGGTTCACAGAGCAAATTTATTTTCCATACAGCAGTTCATACACATTTTCTCTCATAACATTGGCTGCAGTTCCCCACAGTGTAACAGCTCTCTTCCCACTTCTCCCTGTAGTTACCTCTTCCCTATGTCCTTCCCTCCCATGCACTCCTGTTCCCTGAGCTGTCTCACGATCCATACACGTCCTTCTGTTCTCTCATGATTGATCACTCCAGGTAGTGTTTCTGCCTGATGTAAATGTTCAGCCCATATGCCTGTTATTTGGCTGGAATCCACAGGAGTGAGTTCAATTTCAGACTTGAAGGGCAGCTGGGAGCCATAGTCTCAGGGTTCTCACCAGGCTCTATCAGACCAGCAAACCTGGTCTTTTTTTTTTTTTTTTTTTTTTTTATAATTTTGAGTTTTGTTCCACACTGTTCTCCCACTCTATTCAGGATCTCCTACACAGATCCCCCTCTGAGTGGTTGATAGTGGTAGCTGGGCACCATCTAGTTCTTCTGGTCTCATGGTCATATAGGCTGAGAATCGCATGGATAGCAGTCCCTTGGACTAATTGTTTCCATGTATCTTTGATTTTCTTCACTCTTTGCTCTGGATGTGGCAAGACCCATCGTTGCATCTAGATGGCTGCTTGCAAGCTTTTAAGATCCAAGTAGCTATTCACAAAAGTAGTATGTGGAACAGTGTTTTTGTGTAGTATGTTATGCCATGACATAACATGACCATGGTCTTGAGCCCACAGGTCCAACTCACTTTCTCCAGGTAGCTGGCTATGGCCAAGAAGTCACTAGAACCTCGTGCCTTGTCAGCTTTACTATATGCCTGGATAGTCTTACAGAACATACAAATATGCTTGTAGAAACAGCATCTGCCAACCCTATATATGGTCATGGACACACTAGCCCCTGCCTTGACATACATAATCGTTCAGCCTGTCTATCCATCTGGCCATCTGTAGATCAGCATTTGCCATCACTGACAACAAAGTACTGTATATGCTGAAGGGTTTATCTTTGTTGTTTGTACCTCTTATGTACCCCTCTCTCTCTTCCTCTTCTTCAGTGCCACTGTTGATCGCTCACATTTGGTACAGTGCCCTTCCCTCCCCCCAAATCAATACTTTGTCTCTATCTAGCATGTCCCCCTCCCTCCATAACCAACAAAGTTTTGTTCCATATATAAACCTTTCCTTGACTTTTTACAATAATGAGCTAATACAATATTTGTCCTTCTGTAATTGACTTATTTCACTTAGCATAACGTCCTCCAAGTTCTTCCCTGTTATGTGGTGGTTTGTAGATTATACGTTACTCTTCAGTGTTGCATAGTATTCCATTGTGTGTATGTACCATAGTTTAGTTATCCATTCTTCGATTAATGGGCACCTAGGTTGTTTCCATCTTTTTGCTATTGTGAATAGTGCTGCGATGAACATGGGTGTGCGTATCTGAAGAACTCTCATTCCTTCCTCCCCCTAGCCCCTGGTAACCACTAATAAAACTTTGTTTCTATGCATTCACCTATTCTAGATATTTCATGAAAGTGGAATCATACAATATCTGCCCTTTTGTGTCTCATTAATATTTCAGTCTGCATGTTTTTATGGTTTATCCTTGTCTTAGTGTGTATAAGAGTTTCATTTCTCTTTATGGCTGATTAATATTCCATTGCATATATATCCTACATTTTATTTATCCATTTATCTGGTGATGGATACATGGGTTGTTTCCACATTTTGGCTATTGGAATAGTGCTGCAGTAAACATTGGTTACATGTACCTTTGAATCCCTGCTGCTTTTCAATTTTGTAATATAATGAAGTGTGGGGAAAATAGTTTGTATATGTGTTACACATTTCATGTTCATGCAGATTTATAAGTATTGTACCCATTTTATAAAAAGAGCTGGTAAAGTAAAGAGAAATTGCATTTATTCTGTATGTGTGGTATTATCCTTTGGCCCTTCCATAGGTTTTAACTTGTAATTACTCAGCTGATTGTTGTTATGTGCAATCAAGTCAGACCCGACTCATAATGACCCTTCCTTGGGTTTCTGAGGCGGTATCACTACGGAAGTAGATTGCCCAACCTTCCTTCCAAGGAGTGGCTGCTGGGTTTGAACCGCCAGACTCAGCTGATTATACTGATATAAATGTATTTCACAGTTTGGATTTGAGTTCTTGATGTAGTTCCAAGTACAGTTTTTTATGTAACTTTCAACAGTTGTCATCTTATCAGTAGGAAAGAATAGTACTACTGAATAGTATTGAGTCTGTTACAAACATTTATATTTATTTATAAGGAATTACTAGTTTTCTTAGCATAGTGGCTAAAGCACTTGACTGCTAACCAGAAGGCTGGTGGTTCAA